CAGGCAAAGGGAAGATGTAGGAGAGGTTTTTATAAATGGCATTTGGGCAATTAATGTTAACCATCAATATCAGAATGGCTTAGATTACATGATTAACTAGTAAGAGTTTTGAGCTGGCTGGTAATTTTAGATTAAATAGTCAGGCAGCCAGTGACTTGAATATTGATGAATATCCGGTGTTTTATTAATATGCATTCTCTATAAATTAGAGGCTTAGTACACAAAGAAGAATCCTAATGCTCTTGCTATTTTTCATTGCCACAGGTAGAGCTGAATAATTCATAACAATTAATTTATTTCACTGATTTAGCCTTTTGGGGCGGGGGGGAGCTAGGGGGGAGTTGAGCATGAGTAGTCTGCAGGTAATCTTTTCCATGTTTATTTACAATAAATAACTTACCAGAGACATTTGAAGACTAATTCTTAGTTGTGAGAATTTTTTTTTTTTGTATTTTAAATTGGAGAAATTTGGAGGAATATGGGCATAAGTGCAAGCAACCTGTCAGTCCGTACAAGAACCCAAATGAATTTTAAATTGTAAAAAAGCCCAACTAATTGCAAATACAACATATACAGGGTCAGGCTCATGTTGATTTGTATTGATTGGTGCAATGCTGGTTACACTGCATATTTCTGCTCTTCATTTAATTGATTCTAGTACTTCAAGACCAAGATTTCTTACAAATATTTCTGTGGGCAGAATTCATTGTCTGGATTTAGTCCCTAATTCACAGGTAAAATGCTGCCCCTTTTGCAGTCAAGGGAAATTTTACCCTTCAATCTGAAATATCCAGGATTCTACCTGCTGATGGCTGGCAACAGTCCTGAAAATCCTTTTTGAAACACACCAAGCAATAACACATCCAACACGAATGACATTTATATTTGTGCAAACTTTCAGAATATCCATATGCAGATTTTTAAATTATTTTTTTAGGCAGTGGGAGATGGTGCTGTAAATACGAGACAAGATGTTGCAGCACAAAGATCATTTGCCAGTCCTGCAGCTCAGGGAGGCTGCAGCCCTGTCTCACACTCATATCCTGAGCAGGTAATATCCAGAAACACACGAGGAGGAGGAGGAGGCTGCATGATTACTGCCTCTCCCTTTCTCTGGTTCTTACAACACACTCACAGCAGTGAGGCTTGCATAGCACACCATAAATCATTGCCTCATTATGCTGCTTCTGGAGGTTTGTTTAGGGCATCTATTCTAGTACTGGCTGCAGAAGATTATTTGTTCTTCCCCGAAATTCCTCTCTGGTTTGATTTGCACACAAGGAAAAAAATCTCTGCATCTTATTTTTGAAATAATTTCTTAGTGTGCAGAATAATTTACATTACAGAACTGCCTAAGAAAGTAATTTCAGCAATGTCTGGAGGTGGGTGATTTTGTTGAGAACAGGCAAAGGTTACAGAAGGTTTTTGTGTTTTTGTGACTTGTCATTATGAAGTATTAATAAATGAAACAGAGGTTCTTCCTCTCCTCCTTTCTTCCTTCCTCTCTTCTTGCCTGCCTTCCTTTTTGCTTTCTTTCTTCCCTTCTTTCTTTCTTGTGTACATAAAAGCTGTTGATCTCTTACCTAGCCGGATTTTGTTGAATTCTTGTAAAAGAAGCCTCAGTACCTCATTAAAAAACATTGTAAGGTCTTCATGCACTTTTCCTGTATGTCTATATCCAGCCCTACTTCACAAATGGTGCAGGAGGGCACTGGACTGATTGATAGAAGAGGGATTTTCACACTTGGTTTTGACATAAAGAGACAAATTGTCCTAATAAAAGGTGTGCATTAGTAAGCCTAATTTACTAATGAGGAGCAGTATTGCTGAAATAAATACAACAGTATTTATTTAGCCTTGCACCACGTAAGTGCTGGAATAACCTAGATTGTACCTGCAATGGATTGGAACGGCCAGAGCTGAGACTTTGGAGAGCAGGTGGGTGCACTGCAACACGGCTGGGTTTTGCTGCAGTGACAATGTGATCTAGGATCTGATCCAGGCTCCTCAGAAATCAATGGAAATTCTACCCTTGACTTTACTGGGCTTTGGATCCTGCTCCAATTGTACCAGGATGGAAATGAAATTACTCCAGCTTGGAGGAAGAATTTTCTGGCTTAACAGATTCAGTGTTTTGAATTGATGGGTGTGTTTGTAAAGGGGTCCTGACTTCAGGTTTGAGTGTTTTTGACATGTGCCTTGCCATGGTCCTCCCTCCTAGTCACAGCTCCCTGAAACACAATAGATTTCTGTTTTGTGACCACTCACAGACATCCCAGATGAACAGCAGCATTTCATAGGTGATTGTAATGTGAAACTCAGAATCATTGTAAGCTTGCTCAAAATGTGACCTGCCTTCACACAAAAGCTCCCTAAGCTTTCTGAACCTCCCAGCAAAGCTGGATGTGTTCACAGCCATAAAGAAACACAAAGCTAAGTCACTTTGGTGTGTTTTGAAGTTTCACTGCACATCCTCCTGCATTGTATCTCAGAGTCCTGGGTACAATTCTCATTTGATCTTAAACTCTTACAAAGAGCCTAGGAATAGAAGATGTGCTGAGGTAAGGGCCAGAAAACACTTTTTCCGACACCCACTGCAACCTGAGTTCCCCACAAACAATCAGGACTCAGCGAGAATTGTACCCAACTTCTTTTGATGGAAGTGCAGTGGTGACCTTCTAGATTGATTAAAGGTGTGACATTGATTGACTTTGAAGGGAGCCACATCCACCCTTCTTCTGCCAAAAAGGCAGTGGCTGCAATGTGAAGCCTCAAGAATGGGGCATTGCTTTTCCAAGTACATGGAAGACATCCAAGGGTAACAGGATAATGCAGATAATGGGATAGGGTTTCTCCCCTCCTCTCCCTCAAATACCATATAGCTAGATTTTGGCTATCTAGCCTTATGCCTTAGAAGACTTTTCTCTTATAGCTACTTAAAAGATGAAATGGCTGAGGAAATGAGCTCTTTTTGTAGGTTATTTAGGATGTTTGGTGGTTGAGAATGTCAAAAAGGACTGGTGGTGTTGACTCTGCAGGAATCTTTAATGGTGGTGGGGGTATGATATTGTGAGGACCAGTGTCAGTGGAAGGGATGGTGTGGTGGGGGAAAGCTTTATTCCTCAGGCCAACCCACCCCTGAGGATTGTTCACACTGTCACTTTGGGATGTCAAGTTTGAGAGGTGCTAAAATGGTTCTATTTGCCAAAGATACAGAGTATCTTAACAATATCTGGTCTCTTTAAGGCACCTTGAGTTGGCACTGAGGAATATTGGCCTCCAAAATTACCACTCTTGAGAATCTAGGCCACTGAACCTGATATGAACTATCAGAAAGCAGAGACAAGGGAGCACTTATGTTGGAGAATGTATAGTGGCTTGAAAACTACAAATCAAAATAATTCACCCTTTTATGTGTAAATCTCCTTCTCTTTGATACACAAATTGAAAAACTGTCTGGTTTCCTTGTAGTTTCCATAAGCAAGCAGTGTGTGACTGCACCCTCTAGAATGCTATTTAAGTGTTATTTAAAGTGCAGACCTGTTAAAGTCAAGCAAACTGATCTGTATGCTAGAACTGAGCCCACCAAACCTTACACCCAAAACCAGCAGGGAAGGGGGCCTCAAGTGCCACAGCTCCCTTGTGACAAGGGCATGGAGTGACAAACAGTGGAGCACCAAAAATCAAAGCACTTTTTCAGGCACAACAACAAAATCAGAGACAGAAAAACACCAGGTCCTGGTGCAGGTGTCTGCCCTCCTTCCAAAGCAGCTTTTGTCAGGTTTGACACAGCCAGCCCGTGCCAAGGGGATGCAGGCAGGAGCTGCACACTGGCAGTAAAGAAACATCAGCAAACGTACCTGCTGCATGCATTTCTGAGCCCGGAGAAAGGCTGGAGACACAATTCATGAAGCCCACGTGGAAGGGATTACTGGGACACGCTGAATTTACAGGGAGTTTATTGGAAAATTTCAGTGCAAGCATGGAACACAGTGTGATGTGTTTTGCTAATATTCCAGAGTTGTTTTCCCTGGTTGAGCACCTCAATGCAGGTCCTGTGGAAGTCAATAGCTGTCTTGCCTTTCAGAAGGATTATGGCCCTAAATAGCTTCTTTAGGAAGTGTACTTTGCCTAGTGATAACACAAAGCAGAGGGTGGATGATTAACACCAATTAGGATTATTTACAAGAACCTAGAAAACAATAGGTCCATAAATCATTGTCTTATCAATTGTAGTTCCTCCTGAGTAATTCAGTCATCGTTGGGCACACTGTGTTTGTTAAGTACAGATCACACTGATGTTAGCTGAAGTGTGTGCAAATGTTGAAGGTTCAATATGACCTAAAATAGCAGCATGTTACAAAAAAATATCTTTTTTCAACGTTTTTATGTTCTAAATCCCCAACAGTTTACCCCCAGATATATTGAGTGAATTTAAGGCAACTAACAGTAGCCTTGTTTCTCTTGTTTTATGCTTCAGTTCTGTTTACACTTGTGTCTCCCTTTGGGGTGGTTTTGCAGTAATCTCCTGGCTGTCTCCATTTGTTGGGCACTGGTCCAGCTGCAGAACGGCTTCAATGCTCACATATTCCTTCCAGAGGAGAGCCAGTGGGGAGCTCTCTCCAAAAGCAAGCCAGGGCTTGGTGAGACACAGTGCTCTGATCCAAGGGGCAGCCACACCACCACAAAGTCCTTCAGGGTGTCTGTCACCCTGCTTTGCAAGAGGAAGGATGTCAAACTTCCCAGAGCTCCAATACCAGCCTGGAGTGGGGCTTGTGCTTTAGGGAGGGTCATCTGCTTTATGTGGCACCCTTTTTGCTGGTGGCTGGCAGCTCTTGAACCACTACTTCTCTTTCTTCCACCAAGGCTTCTCCTGGCTCATTTTCCTTTTTATTTAGTAACTGCCCAGTCTTCTGTACCTGTTCCTCCTTGCTGCTGATCTTTTTTTTACTTCTACTTTTATCACTTTTTGTGATCCCTTTTCCAATTTCCAACCTTAGTCTCCCAGAAGAGCCGGAGTGGTGATGCCTGGATGCAGAGGAGATCACACTGCTTATAGATCTGCACCATGAGGAGACCAAAAGTTTCTGCAGCAGCAGGAGGTAAGCCAGGACTGCTGGTGGGTGTAAGGAGCAGAGAGCAAAGCCACATGAGTTTGAGAAGAAGGCAGCAGCACCCTGAGGATGGACACTTTGGGGCAGTGTCACGGTCCTGTACAGAAAACTTGAAGAGACACTGAAAACTTCAGGTGGGAACACGCCACCCAAACAGCTTGTGTGGTTTGGTCCATGGACCTTTGGGGTCTGCACACCAGAGACTGAAAACTCTTAACTTACCCTAAATTTCCTCTTTATGGACTTCTGATGTGATAGGAATGGCACAAAAAAATCCAATATATCTTCTTCATCATAGTGTTTCCAACCTCCTAACTTTCCCAGGACTACTTTCTGCTCAAATTACTGGAACTTAATTACATGAGGTTTAATTTCAGTTGCTTGGCCAGCTTTAAAAACATATATTCAAATTTGAACCACAAGGACAGAATTTTGGGAGCCTCTTTGTCCTCTCGCTTTGTGTTAATTTAAATGAGGAAACTGTACCTGTGAATCTCTGCTTTCCTTCACCTATTCCAAGTCATTGTCAGCTCTGGAGAGACATCTCTGACTCACAGCAATTTAAAGGAGAGCACAAACAACTCCTTATTGTTTTAATTTATGTTTTTGAAACTGTGCAAACAGTAGAAATTTGTCTTCTGCTTATGCATTTTCTTGTAAATAAAATGTATTGAGACCAGAGATGGAGTTACTCTGACTTTACACCAGATAATGTATTGACATTTTACAAGAAACTGTTGTATTATCCATCCATTTCACAAGTAGATCTTACAATGTTTAATTATAACACAAAAAAAAAAAAAAAGAAGTGGAAGGAGAATCAAGGGAGGGACATGGAGATAGAATGCAAAAGGACATGGATGAGAAGTGGTGGAGTTGGAGGATAACAGCACCTATCAAAGCATTATCTGAGAATTCCTGTGATTAGGACTTATCTTTCTGGCTTCATTATTTCATCATAATCTGCTGTTTACCTGATAAGCAATAAATGGCCTCCAAATTTTATTGCATTTGCTCACTTTCTTCAGATTTTGCATCAGTTTGCTCCCCTCTTAAGGTCTTATTTCTGTTAAGGAATGAAGATTTTATGGCTTTACTGGGGTTGACTTGTTCCTCTGGTATTTCAGGGTTGTTATTTAGCTAGCAAGGGTCCCACAGCAATTCCTTGAATAACCCTTCCATCTATCATATTGGGATGATCAAGGATACATTGCAGCTGATGTGCAAACACTGTTGTGTACCTGGGGTTGGGCACCCACCTCCAACTCAGCAGATATAAAACCCTCCAAAAAGCCAACAAAAGAGGCTTTTTTAAACACTCCAACCCGCTAGTGGATTATCTTTAATGGGTTTGGCAGCATGCCCCTTCCTTCCTCTGCAGGAATGCTGGCCTGGCTCTGCACCCTGGATTTGGGTTTTTGGTGGTTTTGTTTTATTTTTTTTTTTTTTTTCCTGTATTACAGCATGCAGAAGAAATAAAGTGTAAGACTGATTTGTAATAGTTCATGATGGTTTTTTTTCCTCTGTTTTTTCTTTTTGCTGGGATTAACTTATTTACCTGCCAGGAGACAAATGTATTGACCAGCCCTCCTCTTTGGGGAGTGACCCTTGCCAGCATGGCCCTGCAGGAGAGGGCTCCCTGCATGGGCTGGCTGCTGCTTCTGGGAGCTCACAGAACACACCTTCAAAGGTTGAGGGTTCAGCTTCTTCTGCGTGAGAGAGGAGAGGAAATGACCTTCACCCAGCTGAGCAGGGAACAACAGGAAACCCTCACGGTCCTGCCATTTCCCACCCCCAGGATCCGGAGCTCAGGGACCTTTCTGACAAACTGTCAGTGTTTTTGTCAGGGTTTAGCTGCTGCAAATATATTACCCAAGTATGTTGATGATTCATGGGGAAATGGTGTATGCTGATTTAAGTGATGGGCTAGCCATTCTGTAATGGATTTGAGAATTCCCAATCAGATTGTACTTAGTTTTATCAAGGAGGAAGCTGGCAGGCTGTGTTTTAATCAACTGATAGCATCTCTTGGCAATTGGCATCCAGCTAGTGGACAGAGTACTTCTCAAAGACCAGCTCACTAAGTTACAAACGGTCACAGCCACTCAGATCTCTCAGCTTTATCTCCCATTTTTTCTGTTCAGCCTGTTTCTTTCCCAAATGAAAATTTCAGCTGGAAGTGAAGGAAGATGAAACATATCTACTTCTCTTTCACTGCTGTTTTAGGGGGGATGGATGTGGCAGAATGCATTTGCTTCATCCCCCAGAAAGCTGTGCTGAAACAAGCTCCTAGATCTAACATAAAATCCCAGAACCAGACAAGTTCTAGGATTTGGTCCTGACACAAGTTTTTGGAGTGCTCACATTGCATAAGTGTAGTAAATCTGCAAGATGGGGCCACACCAGGTAAGACACGGCCTTTTCCCCTTTGATTAGGCCATGACTCATTATTCCATGACTCATTATCTATTAGGTCACCAAAGACATACCCAGTGTTCTGACCTGTACCAGCAGATATCAAGAATGGTTCCCTTCCCTGATAATACTCATCAGTCTATTCTTTACTTCAGGGAGAGACCAGCTCCTGCAAAGCATCTTCACTGCATAAACCCTCAGATGCCACAGCTACCTTAAATAATTCCCTACTCAGGATTCATGTTTTGTCACACTTATTGAGCTGTGGAGCCATCCACACTCAAGCACAGCATCAGACCTGAGGAGCTGGTTTGTTGTGCCTGGCTCCTGTGGAGTAGTTACTGTACTTAGCAACCCACCTCCAATATAAATATATCTGCTACTCTGAAGAGCAGGCTTTGAAAAGCACCAGAAGGGATCACTCCCCCATAAAGATTTTTTCCAACATTGCAGAGATTGTTGGGACTTTCAGAGAGAAATTCTTCTCCCATTTAAGCATCCCAGCCAGAGGGTGAAGATTTCACCACAGGCTGACAAAGCTCTGGTGCAACCCTCTTCAATGGGCCATGAACCCCCATTTAAAGTCCTGTGTGAGCTGTTTTTGAGCCCTGCAGGCATGGAGGGAGCTGGAGAGCAGCCATCCATGCAGGTGGGATTTGGGAGCCATCCCTGATGTCTTTGCACAGGGGTCCCACAGCAGCGCGTGGAGAAACAGCTCTGAGAGCTGAGTCCTGAAACCACGTGGGTTTGGAACTGCTTCAACATTTGGAACCCTCAGAAGAGGCTGATGATTGAAAGGCTGTAAAACAATCATGCTCCCAAAAAGTAATAAAAATAAAGGTGAGGTGTAAGGAACAGAGAGGAATGATTCATCGGGAAATTGTGCTCTTGAAATTGTGTGACAAATCCCGGGTGAAGGAGGAGCTGTGTGTAAGCACTCAAGGGCCAGATCCTGACTTGTCCAGAGGAGTTGAAGATCCAATGGACTTGTAGCTGAAAGGAAAATTTTAATTCCCTCTTAGATATTTTCTGTTGACCACTACATGAAAATCAGGGAAATCAGACTCGTGCTTTCAGTGTCATGTCCCATGAGGGACAATGACCCCCACTGCAAGAAATGAAGTTTCCAACACCAGAACCACCAAAAGGACATGTGAAAACCAAGCAGAAAAAAGGCTTCTCTCTTTAGGGTGAAAGTATACAATTTCCACAGAGTCATTTTCAGTGTAAACATTCCTATTTGTATGTTTTACAGATTGAAACAAAAATGTATCTTCCAAACATATTCAATAAGTCAATTTTAAAGCAAGTTAATTAATGTATCTAAGCTTTATCACAGAGCATAAGTAAGTGAAAAAAATCCCCCAGCCAAATGTGAAGAGTCTAATCTTGATTTTCTCACTCTTTGAGTTCATTTATTACTATGTTTGCTCACTTCTATAAGAGCCATGCTCATGTAATAATCCAATTTCTGAGAGCATCTCCAGGGACAGGAGATCACATTACAATATCTCACATTATGTGTCATTCAGGCAGTATCTCCCAAATCATAAAACCTTTGGAAAGGGAATGACACTTGAATAGTAGATTCCTCCTCCTTTTCTTTTTCCCTTTCTGAGCACTTTTTTTCCAGCCCAATGTTCTCTTCCTTATATTGTCTGACCTCATGCACTCAGGCTGCTCATCTCCATTCTGCAGAGAAACAGGCTGTGGTGCACATCTCTGCTTGCTCTACCTGACCACCTCATCCTGTCTCACACTGTCTTTCACACAGTTTGGGATTTTCCCTTCTGTTCTGGGCTTTCATTTGTGTCACCTCACTGCCTGTGTTTTGTGCCTATGGGTTCTGTTTGTGAACTGATAAACTGGAGCAGAGAACTGGCCCTGCTGACTAAAAAAAAGCCCAGGTTTCAGATCAATAATTCCCCTGGTCAGAATAATTTCATTTGTAGCCAAAACTGTCCTAACAGAGATACAGGACCTCTCCAGCTGCCTCTGGTGCCACCTCACAGATCCATTGTCCTGCCATCTTAATTTCTTTCAGCAGCTTCAAGGATCTTGATAAAGACCTCAGGGGAGGCTTATATGGTCTTAAAACATTTCATTGATCCATTTATGTCCATACAGTCCAGGGCTTCCATTTTTAAGATTCCATCTCTATTATCATGGAAACTGGCTAATTACAATAGAAGCCTGTTAGGAGCCTGCTTAAGACACCAGTGTTGTGTAGCAAAACACTTGCAGTTTGCCCAAATCTCAGTGTGCAAAGCTATGGAGTCCTTGGGATGAAAATATGTAGTCTGGGAGATGATTCTGCTGCTCCAGATATTATTTTATCATTCAAATCTAAGGTCACAACCTCAATCCTAGCTCATCCTGTTGACCACACAGACCATAATCAATTTTAATTCCTATGATACATCCATTCTAGACTACCATTGCCCATTTCTTCATGTAGAAGTTGTGCACCAAATTATCTGGTCTGATTAATACCAGGTTACTGTGCCTACTAGTGCACTTACAACACAACTTTGCAATGGGAAAATAATCCTGGCCTTTTCAAACAGAGAGGCAAGCAGAAAAAAAAGTACAACATCAGAATTAAACCAGTTCTGACAATTTCTCATTTCCATTTATTCAGAAAAAGTCATAATTGAGACTTAAGGAAAAAAAGAAAAGCCCTCCGTGCCTTTAAGTGTAAAATCCATTTTAGTAGCAGGAAGCTGTTATATGGTTAGAGCAGTTATTTTTATTGTCTGTCTGGGTATAGTTTTTAACTGCAGGCACAGAATAAATCAATAGTGTCATAAAGCTACTCTCACCCTCTGCCCTTTCTAAAGGGACATTGTTCAGTGTCTGTGCTGGATGTGACACAGACTGTGCTTTGATGCACAAAATTATGCCTCTACTAATGTTCTGGGGGAGAGATCTGTGTGACACATATTTACCTGTATCTCTTTGTCCATATCATCTCAGAGTTATCAGATTAAAAGCAAAATGAAACACAGATATACACACAAAAATGTACAGAAGTTTTTATCAGAGGAGAGGGGATTTTTCTGGTTATTCTCTTGCAAATGATATTGTCAATTATTTGTGCATTCATAAATCCTCTCAGGTGGTGTTTTTTCAAGACTGTCTGAGAACCATGTAGTGATTCATAGGACATTGCACACAACTTAAACCTGACCATTACCTGCTCTTTAATACAGTGAGGAAGGATGGAGCAGGATCTGACTGTATGAAGCTGGTGTTAGATAAAATTGCCCAGAAAGTGTGCCTTTTTAATAGCAAGAGTAGTTAATGGCTGGAACATTTGGCTTAGGAATGTGGTGGATTGAGCATTGCTTTCAGTCTCTAAATCAAGAGTGAGTGTCTTTCTAAAGCTATGCAATAGCTTCAGCAGAAGTTATGGCTTTGATGCTGAAATGAGTGGGTGAAGTTCTTCAGCTGTGTTACATAGGAAGCAAAACCAGATGACTGTGATGGTCCTTTTCAGCCTTACTAATCCATTAAATCCTGGTTTGGGGCCTTTCACACGCCAGGGTTTACAGCAGCCTCTTAGGTTTTCTGTATGGTTTCTGCAGGCAATACA